GCCTGTGGCTGTTGCTGTGGTTGGGGCATGTGGTGGTAGCTGCTGACGGCCTGTGGCTGTTGCTGTGGTGGGGGCATGTGGTGGTAGCCGCTGACAGCCTGTGGCTGTTGCTGTTGCGGAGACTGTGGCGGCGGTGGCTGAGGGCGCTGAGGCGATTGAGGCAGAGGCTGCGGGGCCTGTTGAGGAGACTGAGGCGGCAGTTGCTGCTGCTGTTGTTGTTGTTGTTGTTGGATCAGGGACTGGGGGTGGACTGGTGGGGGCTGAGGCTGTGGCGGAGGTGGTTGTTGGGGCTGGGGATGAGGCTGAGGAGGGGGAGTCAGGGCTGGGTGGTCAACTGAATGCTGGCTGTGATGCCGGTGACTGTGGGAAGCATGCGGCAGGGTGGCTCCTCTGGATGACTCCATTCTTATCTGCTCAAGAGAGATTGTGTCAGCACGGTAAAGAGAATAACATTTATTTTTTTCCCCAAAAACAAGCTTTTGAAAGTATTTAAAAGAAAGAAACCTTACCTTGGAGTTTTCCTCGATCTGGGTCCCTCTCTTCCAGGCCTCAGAGAAAATGGAGCTCACCACACTCTGGGAGCGGCCATGAGAGGAGCCTGTGTCCACACCACTGTCTGAATGTCCGGAATGATTGGACTGGGACTCTGGAAGCACAGAGAATCACAGAAAGAAGTATCCTCAGTACAGAAAAAAGTTTTATACATGCAAAGTATGAAAATGCAATTGATTATGACAGAATATTAAGACAATTATTGAAATTATTAACTTCCCTAAAATCTATTGCATGATTTGACAGTGTACTAACCAGGTATGCTGGCAGAGCTGGAGCCTGATCGAATGCTGGAGGTCGAGAGAGACGACCAATCATAGGCCGCCTCTGTCCTCTTCATGGCTTCCTGGTAGTTTACATAAAGCTGCTTTCCATACTACACACACAAACACACACGCAGAGACAAGTAGAAAGGTAATGAAATAAAAGTTCGATCATTTCTCTGTTTCTCTAACAAGACCTGAACTCAGGTTTTGAACCTACCTTGGCGATTCGGATTCCATTCACCCATTGGTGCAGGGTCCTGACATCATCACAGCACAAGTACTTGATGTACTGAGACTTCTTCTGGATTTGTGGATGCTGCAAAATCAAATGAATCAATGAGAAATGCTTTACTCTCCACAAATGCCTCAAATAACACATAACAATAAAAATCTTCCTCATAATTGAAATATAACTTCTTACTTATTAAATGGCAATCAAATCAAATCAAACAAATCTACTTGACTTGGAATATGACGAGTGCTTTGGATTGAAACAGAGGTATTATCTAATATAAGCTATGGAGACCATGTCAGTGAAAAGCTCTCATCAGTCTCTTAGGACCATAACAAACATATCACACCTTCACACATGCAGTATTTTAAATCTATTCATAGGATGAGACACATGTCAGTGTCTATGTTAACATGCTACATGTCAGCTGCTGGGACTGAGGGCGTTTTCACACCTGAAAGACTGAAACAAGCTTCATGTCTTTGTTACATCGTTCATCAGCAAATTAACCTTGAAGTGTGTAGGTTGTGATAGATTCTAAATATTTTCTAGACTTCTTTTGGATCACTTGCAGTACTCTGCAATTTCTATTCTGTTAAATATGTTATTGATAACAGATATTTAGAGGATTTTGCCATTATTTAAAGAAAAACTGTCACAAAACACAAATGTCCCAATGATAGATCCAGCAAAATGGCTTCACCTTCAGGGCCAGGCAGTAGTCAGTGGGAGCCTTGTATTTGCTGCGGTAGTCCTGGCCGTAATACACGTTAACATGGTCCAACTGCAGGAAGCACACGAGATCTCTAGAGGCCTGCAGAGAGGGAGACATTGATTCATGGCCGATCACAAAAAGAACAGAGAAGTGTATTTCAGTTTTTCATATGTGTTTTTTTAAATAATTACAGTAGGAGGATCAGTCTCACTGCAGTCCAAAAAAATAAATGTAGAGTTGTATTCAATGCTTGAGCTTGAACTGTAATGTTCTGTAGAACTCAACCTACTTTTTCAGCTCACACAGATTACAGAATTTAAATAAGGCAACAAAATAATTAACTACTGGCCTCGAGTAATGCAGCTACAGCTAATGTGGTGTTACCGAAAACCCTGCGAAAAATGTTGCAGTTTGAAAATGACTTTAGAGGATGACGATGCTAAAATTAGAGCACACGTGGAGTGCAAATCTTTGCAGTGATCAGGCCCCAAAACAGGAAATACCACAGAGCTGATTGTGCGAGCCTGGTTCTCATAACCCTAACCCACATTTCTGTTCTCTAACTACGTTATGTCTGAGTAGGACGACTGTGTGCCAACAAGGCACCATCCCAAGTCTCACTGACCTTGGCTTTGCCCTTTGGGACGTAATAGATCCCAGAAGCCCTGAGGAGGAAGTAACGCTTCTTCCACGACTTCTTCCCGTCCTCCTTCAGCCACAGGATGCCCTCGATCTCTGGCACAGACACCGAGCCGCCACAGAAACACTCCTGAAGGATAAAAATTGATTTTAAAGTTTTATCTTCTGATTCATCTCCTTGTTTGGCCCTTTGCTGTCCATTTAGTCTCACCTCTAAAAGAGCCTCTTTATTCCTGTCTGCCATCTCTGATGTCTCCTTCCGCCCCAGCAAATAGTTCTGGAAACGATTGAGAAGAACAGTGAAGTGAATAGAGGGCGAAGAGAGGAGAGAAGGGGGGGGCGTTGTTAAGTCGGTGGCTCACCTCGTCTTATGTTAGATAAATTATTCACCTTTACTCGCTTTAGAGCTTTGACCTACTTCCAACGCCAACACAAACACACTCCCCTGTTCACTCGCCGCCTCTCTGGGCTGTGCAGTCGCTGAGCATGCATAAACAATGTTTATGTGCCGAACATAAGCTTTCAGCATTTACACGCTGAACGCAGAGCGGCTACGGAGGGTGCATCGAGAAGATGATCGGCCCTCGCTCTGATGTATATGTGTGCTGAAGCGCAATGGATGGTCACCTGTGGGTTTTTGAAAAGAGCATATTTCTCGATGCGCTCGATGAACATGAGCTTGTTGTGGCTGTCCCGGGTCCAGTTCAACAGATTCTCCACCAAATTCTCATGATCCTCAAAAATACGTTCTGAGGGAGAGAGAGAGAGAGAGAGAGAGAGAGAGAGAGAGTGAGTAGGGGAGAGAAAGGGAGAGAGTGAAGATAAGATGCAAGATGTGCGGTTTTTTTGCTGAACTGCAAATATGCATTTAATTTCCTCCTGCTGTGGATTTTTGTTTATAGTGTGGAGCATAAACCTTTAAATGTAAGCCTGAAGTCACAAACAGTGACTATGCCAAGCTCACACATAATTATACCACAGTGCATGTTTGTGATCTACATTGTTTACATCGTACGCACACTCTGTGTATTCAGAATATGCTGCGTGCAGAATGCTGTCCATATGCTAACAGTGCAGACCGAAGCAAACCATAAACAATGTTTAGATGACTCAGGAGAGGTGGAAACTTACCCATCTGGAGCTCCGTGATAGTTTCCACGAGGGACCAGTCGGGACTGTAGCCACAGTGTGACTTGTCCAGCAGGCTGTCCAGCACCTGCCTGACTGACTGTCGCTCGTCCACCATCATGGTCTTGGAGCTCTCGTCCGACATGTGGACCCTAATCACCAGCTGAGGAGGAGAAATGGCAGAAGAAATGAGAATGTTGGTCGACTTAATGCTGAAAAGCATGTTTGCAGTAGATCTATCTATCTATCTATCTATCTATCTATCTATCCATCTATCTTTTTCTTGCTAGATCTATATTGAACATTTAATATACAGCTATTTATGAAGATACATTTTTGTAATGATTACCTCCACCATGTTATGTTTTCACTACTGCATGTTTGAAACTATTTTCTTGAAACTTGCTCAAAGGACCCAGTAAGAACTCATTGACTTTTGGAGTGGCTTGAATTAAGGGGGTGTATCCAGGAATTCTTGTTCCACTTTCTTTAACAGGGCGAAATACAGTGTTAGCCTTTGGACACACTTACTTTACCCTATAATCCAGTAATCTTGCCAAAGGCTTTGCATCCACAGGTAAACAACAGTCCTCCATAACTATCCAGCTTAAACTAAGCTGAATGTGAAAAACGCACCCATGCCAAATCCAGCCTAACACAATCAACATCCCACATAAGACATGTCCTGGGGTGAAACAAAATAAAATCCCTCAATTCCTTGACCTCCCATTTATTCCTCGCCCATTGAGACCCAGACATCCAAGCAGTATGTGGGTACAGTTGACCAAGCGGAGACATGGACGAATTTGAGTAACAGCAGAGACGTGGGGAGTGTGACCTACATCTCTCACAGGAGGGATCCTTACAAACCCCCTAGTCTGGCAGAAAAAAAGAAGGATAGTAAAACCGAACCAGAAATCCCAAAGCTTCAACGAGAGAAAGTTCCGAAATTTCTGTCCACCTGCAGTTATATTGCTAGAATGTCATAAATCTAAAAGATAGTAAGTAGTAAGGCTGGCTGCTTAAAATGCTGACAACCACAGCACTAATAATTTAGCACATCACAGCGTTCTCCAGCGCTGAGGTTTTTTTTATGTGCCGCCTGTAGCAGGATGCTTTATCTTGTCATAATATATTCGCTTGGTAGTCAAGTCTAGCTCTGTTCGTTGAATCACTATTGGGCCTCAGCTATTCATTGCATGGAAAAAAGGACCATTCTGCTAAAAAGATTCACAGAGACAGTTTGTTCATTGGAGGAAATACTGATGAAAAAGGCCAGACTGTGGAACCCAATACCGATTTCCCCAATGGAGACAAACACGCTGTGGCTTTTAACAAAGCAAGGCGCCTCTGTTGTTCGCTGAGAACCAACATTTGCTTGGCTGGATGGTTTAAATGAGATGTCTTGTGCAGAATGCGTTTGCATTGTCTAGCAACGCACACTGCATCTTTTTCCAAAGCCTCTTTCTGATTTCGCGCTCCCTCCCCGGCTGATACACACACACATAATCAAACACTGCAATGACCTATTTTCTCTGCGCTTCACCGCCTCGCTGTGAATGAAGTTCACAAAGAAATGCGGTGTGCGGTGAATATGACAAGACAGTAATTACTATCTCCGAATCAGAATGGGTTTTTCCCAAAGAGAAAGCGAGTAAGTGAGTTCGGCGATACCTTTTTAACCTGAGCCTCCTTGATTTTTTCCAGGGCGACTCGGATCTTCTCTGCCTTCAGTTTGGCTGCTTGCTCCTCCTAAATGAAGACACAGGAGCAGTTAACACAGCTGTCATTCACACAAAAATAAATCACATTTTTTCATAGCCTTTCCTCATCCTCTTCACCCAGGTCTTTCATCTTTCCTCGGGCAGGAATGAAACATCCTACACACACACCTCATTAAATAGTAAGCAGCCTTCTTCTACACCATTTCAAACGCACAAGTTTCGGGCATGGTGTCGCCTGGTGTCTAATTTTCCTCTGGGTTGCTTACCTGCCCCCTCCAACAAGATGCCATCACCTCCATTCCACAGGTAGTGTTTCAGTGGGTTTTCCCTTATGTGTGAATAAACAAATAAACGCTGTGATGGGAAACCTCTGCTAATGTGACATTGGTCCAGCATCCCCTCAAATATGGCGCTCCATTTGCCGTCTATGGTTCCATATTGGATTTCATATGGAGCTGCAGTGGTTTCTTTTGATCTCGCTATACAGCAGAGAGGAAACAATGGCAGAAGATCCCCGAAGGCGAGCGGCTGTGGATGAGTGTGGGATCAGCTCAGAGAGCTTCTATGCCCTCCACTCAAACAGAAAATGATCTCCTGCGACGATCATATCAAAAAAAGGGGGAAACATTTTACAAAAATATCCAAGCACGTCCATGACTGATAAATGGGATGAAAACGGGTTCTTTCTCAGTTGTCTAAACAGTGCGAGAAAAAAAAGACCTACTGCTGCCGCATAAAAAGTTATTCCACCATGATCCTCAGCCCTGGGTCCACGTCCTCCATCACTCAAAGACGACAGCGGTCAAACTAGCCGAGGCTGGGTTGAGCACATTGTGACAGTGCTGACATGCAGACATGTGCGCCTGAGATGTGCACAACTTGACTTAAGCCCCAAGTGAGACAGTAGGGAGGACGATGCCCCTCCCCCTCCCACCCTTTCTTCCTGCTTCCTCCCCCCTCTCCATCACTCTCTTCCCCTCTCTCCTTCTAGAGCAGATGCAGAGGTTTGGGAGCGTGCCCAATCGATAAGAGATAATCCCCACAAAAATATTGGACTAGCCAACCAGCGAGCCCCATTTGCAGGACCCTTTAGCCAGTCAGGACAGGGGGGGGGGGGGCATGATTGACGCTGGACGCTGGCCCCCGGCGTGAAACTACAGCGTCGAAGACAGAGAGTGGAATTCGGGTGAATGAGAAGCAGAGGTGCTGAATATTTGAAGTCGTGCACACTCAGGCGTGTGTGTTAAAAGACAGGGACAGGGGTGGGCATTAACAAGCGCTCCCCAAGCCTCTGATCACGAGAAAAACTAACCACCCCCCCTCGTCTTGACCCAGACTATCTCTTACACATGACCGGCTCCAGAGCACATACACATTAATGCAATAAAGCCGACACTCTGTTTGGTCAACACATAGGCTTTTAGTCATCCGAGTGTGAGCATGTGTGTTAGGAGAAACAGAGGTCATGGGGGTGGTGCAGATTATAGTCCGGAGTCAATCTGAGTCACACTGTAGATTTAGCTCTCAGTGGACCCCCCCCACAACTTGCTCCCTTGTCCATTATTCCCTCGTCACGTGACACCTACACGACGCTTTTTTATTGGACATTGCTCTGATTCCTATTCCACTCCACACTCGAGCCAATTTTAAAAGACTCTTCTGCCAAGCCTGGAATGAAAAAAATAAAAAAACTTGGCACAGCCTCACTTTGATGTCTTCCCACTCTCTCCCTCTTCACTTGTTCCCAAACAAACTGTGATCATTCACTATTCCCATTTCTGAGAGAGAGGAGGTACAAGTCGGGGCGATCGCCCTCGCCCCTTCACTGGTGGAAAAGTGTAACGCTAACACATAAACTCCCCCGCAGCCTGTTCGCCAAAGGCTATCTGCCCTCTCCGCCTTTTTTAAAGCGATTCAAGCGCTTTCTGCAAACGTGGGCAGAGTTGAATGCCGAGATGCCAGAAACCAATAGCCTTGAAACAATTAATAGATTCCATTGTTTTGTAATTCAGTGAGAAAAAGTAACTGCAAGACTCAGCAACATTTTTTTTATATTTTCAGGGCAGATGAATTCAGCCAGTCAGCTTCACATCTATTATATGAGAGGGTTTTAGAAAGAAACCAGAATTCAATGCCAGCGGCCGCTAAGGGGGATCTGTCTCTTCTCTCGTACATGAATAGTACAAAGCTGTCTTTGTCTTTAAAAGTCCTGAAAATGATCAAAATCTCATAGCCACGGAAAAACCCTTCTACGATTCAAGATTCAAATGATTTGTGGTTTTATGACAAATTCAGCAAAAGCTCCTGGATTATAACACGTCAATAGGATTAAGGGACCTTTTGGAATCCTTCGCCTTTCACTTGGCTATGTGTCATGTAGCGACGGTGGGATAAATCACAATCGACATCGGCCAACTTTCAACCGCAAATCTGCACACATCTGATCGGAATAAGCTTTGAGTGGGAGCCAAGGTCTGCAACCAATACACTTGCTGTGAAACCTGACGAATGCCAAGAGATCGACAGTAAAATAAAGAGATTTGAGAACGAAGGAGGACTGACGTGAAGGATAAATAGATGTGACGTGTTGTTTATGTGAGAACTGTTACATCCACGTATGTACTTTTGATGTACTGAATAGTAAAGCTTTAACAATAACATAGATATCCCCCACCCTTTCTTTTTTGTCTGACCAAACAGTAAAAAACCCAAAGATATTTTTTTTTCTCAAATCAAATCAGACAAAAGCAGCAAATTGTCATATTGGAGAACCTGGAAGAAGTTGTTGCCTGATACAAAACTTTAAAAATTAACCGATAATCAAAATCCTTACCTGTTCCCTTATTGAATTATCAATTGATTGATTAATCAATGCAGCTCTTATGACATCAAATCATTTCTTAATGAAGGCAGGGTGCAAATCAAAAGCCAGCGTCACAAAGAGAGAGATGATAAATGAAAGACTGTATAGACCCATAGTCAAAAAAACTACAGTATATGCCAGTGAAAGATAAAAGCACTGATACATGAAACAAAACAATTCAGTGTATTCAATCTATAAGTGTCTGATGACGGGGAAAAATCCATTCTGATATTCTATGCAGGTAATGTATTTTTCTCCATATGTGTATTCCTAAATTCACTGAAAATATTACTGTTGGACAGATGGGAAAAATAACTGTCATCCCGTTTCTGGCTGAAAGATTACCTTCAAAAATTAAGTAGATGTTTATTTTTCAATAGTTAGTTATCAAGATGGATTTTTCCTCTATACATGCAAAGCAGAAACATGGAGCAGTGAACACACCAGGAAAACAAAGAAGCGAGTGTATGAATAGGCGGTCACCTTGGTCAGGAGGTGAGAAGGCTTTCCAGCTATGCTTTTCAGAATGAGTGAGGTTTCTCGGTCCAGATAGGAGTGCTTGGGTGAAGAGAGGAGGAGAGGAGATTTAAAAATAAAAGAAAAGGAGGAGAGCAGAGTAACAGACAAAAAAAGAGAGAAAGTTGGTGGCAGATGATTCTCGGAGGCTTATTAATTATTATTTGCAGGTGTTTTGATCTTTTTTGTATAAAAAAGCGTGGAAGCGAGAGAAGGTTCCATAAATGGAGCGCTCAGCAGCGGTGGCTATCATTTAGCTGCAGCTGTGGGTAAAGAAGCAATGGTTGTGAGAAGTAGAGGGTGCAAAACACTGGAGCATGTGAATACATTGTATACTGAATTCTGGCTAAACCTACTGTCTACAACTACTTTCACAAACACACACAATCCATTCACACAGTACACACTTATATGCTTTATGGTTTCATGTGTGCACATTACACATAAGCCAAAGGCTGCACACGAAAGCTACAACGTCACTGCAGATATACAGCCTGTTAATTAAAACTGAACTGAATTTGTAATTGCATCATTAACAGAACTATGTGATCAGAAATCGTTCAATTGGAGAAACACTCCTAGTAAATAATTAACCTTGCAGCCTTACGTGGACTAATGCCTACACGCATGCATCACTCAAGCAAGCTCACACACTTACAGTGGCCCGATCCACTTCACTCGCTTGTGAGGTGAAGTCAAGCTGCCGTCTGGCTGGCTTACCATTGGCCCGCCGCAGTACGACATGCTGGGAAAATCGGGAGGTGCAGGCAAGGTGTGTGTGTGGAGACACCACAGATATAGGAAAGGATGCAAACACAGATAATGTGAACACATGCAGACGAGGGGGACAGGGGACATGCTATAGAACCTGTGGACGTTTAACCGACAAGAATTCTGACTGATTAATACTATCGGTTAATCTGTTAAAAAAATTAGTTCCATCTGAGCAGGTATTCTACGATGACTGATTCCTCCTGACAGATCTGTATGCGTGAATCTTTTCTAGAATCGTGAATCTTGTCAGTTAATGGAAAATAATCAGTTAAGAGGCATCAGTTGTGGGTGAGAAATGAAAAAAGTGTAGATCCTTGTTTTTGTAGTAAAAAACAAGCCCACTGTCATGGTTTTACATTCCTCTCCTCCTTTCCTAGCTGTCCCCCGTCTCCGACAAGTCACATAAACATACACATCTGTTTATGTACAGTGTATTTGCTTGAGTCTTAACCACTGAACCAGGTTAAACTCCTCTCAAACACACTTGAGGAAATAGCCATGAAACTCTGTGAGTGAACAAAGAACATCATCCAATCCGCAGTACAGGGGACGTATTGTGGATTGCGTGTGTGAGCCATGCAGTTTCCTCCAAACGTCATGCTGTGTGGAGTTGTACATGCAGGACAGCAGCTGGACTTCATTTACTGAATGAGTTAACTTTATGTACAAAGATGTCACTTACCAATACACATGGAGACGTGTATGTCTTTGACACGGTGGCGCTCACTCACACTTTCTTATTAGCTGATAATACTATGTCTAACTCTTGGATTTCCTCTACATGTGTTTTTCAGTGTTTGTGTGTAGGCCATACCTCAGTGCTGGTCTGGTTTTGTCCTTGTGCGTTCGAGCTGCTCTGGCCCTCCGTCTCTCCTCCCGTCATCACTTTGTCAATGTCCAGGGAGTCCATGCTGGACGCTGAGGCACATGCTGAATTTACACTAGAACGCTGGGACGGCGCCTCCTGCTCGCTGACTGCGCCCACAGAGCCCGTCCTGCGGTGCTGCCCTCCGCCAGTGGACCCCGATGAGGGCCGCCGGAGCGTGGTGGAGGAGAATGAGGAAGAAGAGGAGGATGAGGAAGAGGAGGACGTCTGGCGAGCCGCCTCGTCCATGCTGAGAGAAGCCTTCTCCAGCTGGGAAGTGATGTCATCGAGGGAGATGTTGGAGGCTGCGGGGCGAGTGTTGACGCTGCCGCCTCGTACTGTGTTGGCCGGCGATGCCCTGGTACTGCTACTGGTACTTCCTGTTGGTCAGGTGGAGGAGGAACTAATTTATACATTAATTTCATTATTGATCAGTTTTTATTCTACATTTTCAACTACTGGATTTTAGCTGCAGCATCATGTAGCATTTTCAATATATGCATCCAATATAAATAATCACATAAATTAGATTTTTATCATTACCAATAACAAATGAGACCATAGCAAAAAAGAAAAGACTGTTGTGCAGCTTGAATTGTAACTAGCGCCTCTTTGGACAAATGTGCGTAAAAGTGTTAATGTTTTCCCTTCCTCTATTATTACCCTCCATGTGATTTTTTTTTCTCCTATTAGTCTTTTACTGTCTCCACTGGAAGACATGTTTTTACCAGGAGAGGAGTATACGATTCCCTGTCTGTGCAAAACAAGCATAAGCATCATCCGAGCCTCGCCATGGCAAACTGCTGTATTTACAGTGATTCCATATTAATGTGAAGGGATTTCCTGCAGTATTTATTTTATTCATGATGAAATACTACATGAAGCATTGTTGCAAATGCACATTATTCTGTGAGACTACCTCCGCTGCTTCCCCCTCCACTGGTGCCTGGGTGCTTGCTACTAGCACTTCGGCCCACGGGGGTCCTCTGCTGGCCTTTGCTCTGGCCACGAGACGTGGAGTTTGGTTTGGAAATGGTATTGAGCTCCTGCTCGATGGAGCACAGGTCGGCCATCAGTGCATCCAGGTCCACTGTGTCTCCCTGGTTCAATGCCTCTGCAGGGAGCAAATATGGAGGATGCAGGAAGATCACAGAGCAGGGGAAGGGTTGAAGGGGGAAGGGTGTCATTATAATATTTCAGACCTTGTTGTCATCAGTGCTGTTATATCACACACTATGGATGAAGCCTCACCGTTTATGTTGTACATTGAGAAGCGGTAGGAGAAGTTGGCCATGTTGGTCTCCTGTCTGAGAGGAGGCTTCTGCAGTGCTTTCTGTGGCCTGCCGTCATCCAGACTCTGAGGAGCAAACACACAGAAGACACACTTCAAAAACCACACACACATCCTGACATTATAGTCAAACCACAGAATCTAAGCAACCACGTCAGCCTGCTAGACTCATTCGTCTCTCACAGACACACACACACACACCTGCACAAACACACAGTACAAAGCGGTGGTGGGAGGGGAGCTGCTAGGATACAGTGTAGGGAGACAGGATTAGCAGTGTTAAGGTTGCTATGGATACAGCCCCATCCTTTCTCCGTGCTCATGTACCTGTGTGTATATATATGTGTGTGTGAGTGTTAACCTGTGTGAGCTTGTCCAGTTCTCCCAGCCAGGCTCCAAACATCTTGTCCAGGTCTTGGTCCTCCTTATCACTGTCCTCCTCTGCTCCATGGTCCAACTCATCATCTGATACCTGCTCCATCTACACACACAGACACACACAGACACACACACACACAAAGAGAAACAGACAAATCGTCAGATGATTCTAAATAAATGCACAAATTCAAACACACACAATCAGATAACACCCACATTGCAAGATTTGATCTAAAAGAGTAGAAAAATAAATAAATAAATAAAAACCCTCAGTTCATGCCAACCTCACTGCCTGTTACCATGACAACCGCTCACGGACCCCTGGCGGGCACCCTTTACAGTCTGATCGGTGGAATGCCCTGTAGTGTCTGCTGTGCTGTTCACCGCTGACACACCCAACATCTTGCCCACCAGCTAAGGATCCAAAGAAAAGGGGGATGACGACGGAAGAAAGGAGGGGAAAAGCTGATGAACGCCAACCAGCATCACATATGTGGGCTCAGTTACCCTGCAGTGAATCACTACAGCATGAAGCAGATATCAAGCGAGCCACTCTGAACAACAGGAGCAGGTGGTATTAGTGGCGATATGGGCCAGTGTGAGGGGAGGAGGGCATGGCAAGCAAAGGCGATGACAGGGCTCCCTCTACTGGACGAAAAAGGGACGTGCTACAGCTGCAATGTGCAGCTGGGTGCCCGCTCATATCTTGCAATGCAACAAAAAGCATCCGAGCTTTGAAAGTTGACAGACATTCATAAACATCTGCATGCTTTTATTTCAAACGACTCATTTTGGAGCTAATCTATATCACATTACATACTGAAGATATTATGTAGTGAGCGCTTAAGTATTCAGTTAAAATGAAACTGCCTGGAGACAAGTGACAAAAGCAAACTGACAAACAGTTTTTTGTTATCCTACACAAGGACACTTCACATTAGACAAAACACAGGGCTGTACAAATATTATTGCACTAAAGAAATGGCCCCATTCCACAGTATAACAATACGATGCCCCTCCCTGTCTATGCGTAACATTTCTAGGTCACCCAGGCTGTCACACTCTGTGAGGACAATCTGATATTTCCCAACCTGGGGAATAAGTAAACACCCACGACATGCCAATGTGCTTGGAAGAAGAACGTGGTGTATGTGAGTCAAACAATAGGAAAGCGTGGTTCAGCAAAGTAGGAGACACACCTGAGCTTCTGCCATGGGAAGTGCATGTGCATGTTTGCTCCGCCCTTCCAGCCTTACATACACATCATAACACAGTACAAACTTAAACGATGGATAATTAATGAACTAAATTTTACAACATACACGTCTCCCTTAAGAGAGCCCCTGTTTTGGTACAGCCCAGTACCCCCCAACACAGTCCAGTCAGATGGAATATTCCTGGGTAATCCCATTGATGTTTCAGGGGGTGTCTTTCCACTCCTGTTATTCACACTGTGTGGTGTCAGTCACTAGTGGAGACTGTACCAAACCAGAATTAACCCCTTTGTTGACCCCTGTACGTTTGATCTAATGAAATGTATGTGTGCGTTTGTGTGTCTAAGCTTTATGGTTATACTGAATACTTGAGAGGCAATCCGAAAGTCATGCTTTGTTGTTAGAAGGCGATAAAAGCGGGTAATAAAACAGGCAGTAGGTTAAAGGCAATAAAACAGGCGGGCGTTTGTTAAAGCAAACAGGAATATGATAGCGAACACTATTGAAAATCGGTCAGCTGAAGACAAACACGCACTCGCACACACACAAGCAGCTGAGGGGCGCTTGTTTCAGAGCAGAAGCGGTCACATTCCAGACAGCACACGTGCCCCGTCACTGTATGTGCTGCTCGCTGAACAAATAAATATACTCCTCCAGCCTCTGTGTCTTTACAGGTGGCATCATAAGCCTACGCTGCTACTTCTGTGTGTGTGCGTGCGTGTTTATGTGCACGCACATTACAGGGTTGATGATGGATGGTTTCCTGTGTTGGCATACGTATCAAACACATCAAGAACATCTTGTTGAGAAAGATAGAGTCTGGGTATGTAAACAAAAACATTTTTAACTAAGTGTGCGCAAGTGTACTGTTACATTCATGCCCTCATGAACGTGTGTGGGAGTCGGAACAGGAAATGGCCAGGATGTGCAGAATTCCTGATTTCCCTACTGGCAGGAAACTCCAGCTGTCCTTTGGGTTATTGGGGATGAGAGGGACTTATGGGTAAGAGGAGGAGATCGTGGTGCTGAGGCTACGATCCAGAACGCTCCACCTTTACAGGTACTTGGTGTATCACTGTAGATGACTCACAAAACCAAACCAAGTTTGCATCATTCAAATGACATTGTAACAGTTGACTTGGCTCCACAAAGAGCCCTTTGGTCAGAGACATATCTCATCGGGAGGGGGTTTCCCAGCATGACATCATGGCTGGCCGGAGGCAGAGGAAGAGGAAATGGCCAAATTAAAAAATGGGCATACATTGTGTTTGTCTATTCTCTGAGGTCCTTCAATTTGTAAATACAGAAGCATTAAATGAGTTGCCCCTCAGGAGCTTGAACAGCTGTGTTAAAACAGCAATCAGCCTGCGGATCTTCATATCTCACACACACACACACACAC